TTGTTTCTAAGTGGAATTGACAGTTTGGTCTGTTTCATTTGTTCTATTTTGAAACTGAAACGCTTTAGCGGCTGCCTTTTGTGTAGTTTGCAATATTTGCCTTTATTTATCTGAAAAAGTCTCGTGTTCCTTAAGTACATCTACCCTGTTGAACTTATTATGGGAAATAAATATTTAAAAACAAGCTGCTGATTATTTCACATTTTACTTGTGAGCAACGGCACATTTAAATCTTACAAATATAGTTATTTGGCTTATATCGTGATAGATATCGTTATCGCCTGAAATGAAAAAAACATATCGTGATATGAAAAAATCTTATATCGCCCAGCTCTAGTCGACTATCAAAATACTGGTTTGTGGCAGCCTAACTGATACCTTTAAAGAGAAGCTTGGGACCCACCTGTGCAAGCTTGCTTTGATTAAGCTTTATTTTCTATCTACTTTTGGATCATAAAACACTTTGTAACCTTTCTTCTTGAAAAGTGCATATAAAACTTGACTTGCTACACGTAAGAAAGAAAAAGGGGAACAGTTCCTCTCTTGAACAGAGCTGAAACTTTCTCACTGCTTAAAAGAAGAACTGGAAAGAAAGTACCATTCAAAGCATGAGCAGAGCTCAGAAAATAATGAATGCTACACAAAGTTAACACTCTTCCAGAGTCTGAAAGGTCTGCCAGCAAAGACATTCTTCATTCTTAAGCTACCGGCCGTAAACACTGAGCCACGGACGGATTGTTAGACTTGCTGCCCGGTGTGCAGTCACCCACAGCACGCATACGACTCTGACCACCTGCATGTTTACTGTCATTTTGAGAGTTTCCCTGATTACTTTATATCTTTCAAGTCATGATATTGTGTCTCAGTGGGTGATTTGTGTGTTTTGTGACCACTCTCTATAACAGAGTCTTTGCGTAGCCCTTTGTGTTTTTGGTCATTCTCTTTGTTGTTGTCTGGTTGTGGGAGTTTGGGGTCTGGGGGCTCTTCCCAGGTGTTTCATTTCTTAGTTTGGTCGTCATCTTTAACATTTCATGGCTTACATGCTCAGCACACTTTACTCCGCTGGGTCTGGACCGTACCTGATTTTGTAGTTGGGTAAGGTGTGTTTCTTCTTGATGACCCGTTTCAGCTGGTTGACTATGATGGAGGTGAGCTGAGGCAGTGGCCTCCCTTCAAACTGGGACTTCACCTCAAAATCCACCAGTGGATCCTCGAGGAAGGAGAAGGACCAGTGGGAGAAGGGCACGCGCGTGAACTGCAGCCTCAGCCTGCCCACCACGCGCCTCATCTTGACGAACAGGTACGCAGACTTTCCGAACACCAGCTCGACGTCGATGGCGAGGTGGAAGCCGCCATTGTACTCGATGTCCACCTCGAAGTTGAGCTCTTCGGGCATCCCGTCCTCGTTCAGATGCGCCGGCTTCATGAGTTTGGCGGTCTTAAAAACCGGCAGCGAATTCCCGAGAGAGAAATCTTTCAGACTGAGTCCCTCCAGGAGCCGACCAGCTGTCTTGGTCTGCAGCAGCTCCTCAAACTCCACCTTAATCTTTTTGGTGAGCCAGTGTCTGACGACGGGAGTGTCTCTGAGCTCCCGGAATAGGAACAGAAAGATAGCGTTTAGGAAATGGCACGTTTCGGCTTTTCCTGCATCGATGGGCTCGCTTTGGGAAGGCGGTGGCGGCTGTTGTTTCGGGCCGCCGCCGGTGACGGCTGCCTCCTGCTGCCGCGTAGAGGCGGCCTCTGGCTGCTTAGATGCGGTACATGTCGTGCTGTCCTGCTGCTGGCCTGCTTCGGCATGATGGCTATTAAAGTAATCCTTCAGCGCGTTACCGGGCACTACTTTGACATACTGCACTGTCCTGCCTACGGGCTCAGGGCTTCTCCGGTATATTAGCAGGAACTGTACTATCAGCGTAACGACTGCACCGAAAACCGCGGAAACGAGTATTAAGTAAATCATGTCGAGCACGCGCCCTGATATCCACTCAAAGTGTTGTGATAACACGAAGCAAGTTCTACTTGGGCGCTCTCAAAGCTGCCATATCATCGGCTTCTTTCCTGAGCTTCTCTTAGCTTCTCACCTGATTGGACGAATGGGTTACGTGACTGTGCGTGATGACGAAATCAGGTTTTGATGCGTTCAAGCAGACTGCGAAACCTGTTGACCGGAGTCACCGGGTTCCGCGGCCCTCTTTGTAAACACGGCTTTCCTTTGGTCACAGTCTTGAACATACGGCTGCCATGTTACCGACAACCATCACTTCCTCTAAATATTCATGTTTATTCTTCATATTTTAGTGCAAATGTATTCAGTGCCAATAGAATAGCTTTATTGTCACCATACAGATGTACAAATGCATCTCCAACTCAGATGAGGGAGAAGAAAGGGGCGTGAGGTGCACAGTTTCTGCAGCACTGTATACATATGATGGACAGTATTTTTTTTTAAAATTTAAATATATATATATATATATATATATATATATACACACACACACACACACACACACACACACACACACACACACACATATATATATATACATATACATATATGTATATACATATATACACACACACACACACACACATATATATATATGTATATATATATATATATATATATATATATATATATACATATATATATATATATATATATATGTATGTATATGTGTGTGTGTGTGATATACAAATGAACAGTTATGTTATTTCCTCTTTGTGTGAAAAAAACCAAAAAGCACAAACTAAAAAAATGTGAACGAATTTAACTAAAACCAAATCAAAGGGGAAGACTGTCTAAGACCGTCTAGCATGTTTTTCCTGAACACTCCTGCAGGGGTCACTGGTGTCTTTCTCACTGCGTTGCACTTTTTGTTGTTTTACATTTCAAATGAACAATTAAAGAAAACGCACGAAGACAGGTATCATGAAAAGAAAATAGGCATTGCACTATGACACAGGTGGAGCATGGTGGTGGCAGCATCAAGCTGTGGGGTTGGCAGTAACCACAGAGGGAATGACAGATCCACTGGATCCAGCCAAACAAAGAGAAATCTGTGATTTATCAGTATATCCTACAGTCCAGATGGAATATGGAAGTCACAGGATAGAATTTAGTCTTAGGACCAAAACTCTGAAAGTGTGAAAAACACCCAATCCCCTGAGATTTGGCTCATTTCTGTTCAATAACTGTATATTTAACAAAACCACGTAAAATGTGCTACTGTGCCATCCCCTTTCAGAGGTACCTGAACAAATTGATTAATTACAAATCAATGTGTAAAGTTGATTTTCTCTTTTTATTATGCATATTGTTTCCAATACAGCCCTTTTTGAGCCCTTACATCTTTTTAAGTCATCAAGTAAATAGTATGAAATTTTAGGACATTGAAACCATATCTAATATTTAAACTAAGAAGATATGCTATTTTGATTTTAAAAAATAGATAATCCTTTGAATTTCATGACACTACCATGTTTAAGAAACAGTTGGGTTGCGGTTGTGTTGGCTTCATCAGGTGGAGGCTTGTAGCTTGGTTTCACAGCCTAGTGTGAAGCATTAGGAATAGAAATCAGCACCTACGAGACAAGGTCAAGGTCAAATTTATTTATATAGCACATTTCAAACAGCCGATGCTGCACAAAGTGCTTAACAATATAAAAATGGCATTAAAAAGCAACAATGTAATACATTAATAAGAATAAAAAACAATAATAGGACAATAAAAGAATTAAAACAATAACTAAAACTATTTCAAATAAGACCAGAATGCCTGGGTCATAGTGTGTTAAAAGCCAGGGCATAGAAATGTGTCTTTAGTAAAGATTTAAATTGATCAAGTGTTGTGCAGATCTAACATTTAGGGGAGACTATTTGAGACTCTGGGACCTGCCACAGAGAAGGATCTATCACCACGAGATTTGAGATCAGTCCGTGGTTTTGAGCTGGACCTGGTGGTTTGTCCTGGAGCATAGGCAGAGAGGGGCTCAGACAGGTAAGGAGGGGCTCGGGCGTTAAGAGACTTAAAAACAAAAAGTCAAAGTTGAAATTGGATCCTGTAGGAGACAGGAAGCCAGTGTAGAGAAGCCAAAACTGGGGTTATAAGCTCTCTCTGTTTGGTACCAGTTAGCAGGCGAGCAGCTGCATTTTGGACCATGTGAAGACGATGGATGGAGGCCTGATCTAGACCATAATACAATGAATTGCAGTAGTCTCATCTGCAAGTAAGGAAAAGGTGAATAACACGCTCAAAGACTTTAGGAGGGATGGCTTTACCTTGGTCAGCTGTCTTAACTGAAAGAAGCAGGACTGAACTGCTGCACTCACCTGCTTATTCACTTTAAAAGAACCATCAATGTAGACACCGAGGTTTTTTACATGTGTTTACAATGGGAGGAAAGGGGCCCAGAGGCTATGGTTATGGTTCCCGGGCAGAAGAGGGTCGAATATGGTATGCTCTAATATAACTTATTCTTTGCACAACAGAGTTTTAACCTGCAGACAGACGGAAGCTCCCAACTAGTAGATTTGGACAGACAGAAAAAGAAGAGGCAAATATCCAGAAATCCTACCAGTGGCTGGACAGAGCTGAAAGACAGCACAGAGGCACTGAAGATCCAGAGAGCCTGTAACACCAGGCACGTTTGGGTGCTTTTCAAAGCTGTACTTTCCCAGTTTTACTTGCTTGTGCACCTCGTGGAGCTGAAGCAGCATTACAGAGCCTGACTAATTATAGTGAAACCAGTTATTTCAATTTATTGCTGCTGAAGGTGCTTCTACAAGACTGGCGTAAAAACTCTCCTTTTCACATGACGATATTTCTATTACAAGCAAAAGCAATACGACCGGATCGAATGGGACACCTACTGTGCTGATTACCCCTTCAGCTTTTTTCTTTTACCTGAAAAGCACCGCGTCAAACAGAGTTGGTCCGCTAGCGTCCCAAAATAAAGAGACGGAAGGCGGCGTGAAGAAGCGCTTTGAGCATATCTGGAGAGAAGTTTGCTCGTCTGTGTGTTCGCTTCTTTTCCTTTTTCAGAGGGCTTTGATTTTATTTTAGATATTAAAAAACATGAATATTTCATCATATATTTCTAGCAAGGACGTATTCTTCTGTCGTCATAGATGAACCGCCTTCGGCTGGAAATTACGGGTGGGCCTTGAAGGCAGCATTAATCCTCGCACCTTTTCATCACAGAGGTGTTTCATTTGTTTGAGTCGCCGCCGCTGGGGTGGCATTGGAGCTTTCTCTGAGGTCGGGGCAGAGGATAACTGCGTGTTTTTACTGCGTGGAGACAGTTTCTGTCCGCTCCTTTTACATTTCCCTGCATGGGAGACATCCCAGCCTCAAACATGAGCAGTTTGAACGCGTACAAAGAACCATTTGGTGAGTAAAACATTCATTTCACTGTCCGTGTCAGAGCGCCGTTGTTTCATTCATAACTGTTCTCAACAAGTGTCGTGAAAAGTTTCTTAAGATTTGTCACTATTGTTTATTGTGTGTTAAAACGACATGTTGCCACATAAAATAATGTATTTGATCAGATTTCGTCTTCATCTAAAGTATTTTGAACTTAATTCAGTTCAATGTAGCGTCGTTTAGGATGGAAAGGAAGAGCAGCATCCGTTTGTTGGTTAACCACACAACCAAGAAAGTTTCCACAATTAGAAAAATTTCCTTTTTCGACTAAGCGGAAAACCCGCTGGCCTCTGCGCTGGCATCTTATTTGCTGTCCAGTGAAGCTGTGGCGTGACGTGTGACCTTCACGCATTCAGTGATATGCTGAGCGGAAAAGAGTAGGCCACCACAGTTCCACAGAACGAAGTCTAGTGGGCTAAGACAGATTAGAAAGAGGCTCCGTTTGTGGTTTGTATTTCCGTGTTAGTGTCTTAACGACTGCTTGTGCCTCTTGCGTGCTGTAACTGATGGCTTTATTGATCACTGATACGTGCTGTGCTTCACAGCATTTTAAAAAGAACACATTCTGGTTTTAATCGCACTTTTTAATAATCATTTATTCTGGTTTTGCTGTTTTGTTGTTCTATCTATTTACATATTGACTGATGTGTCTTAGTGAGGTGTTGGGCCACCGCCATGTGCCAAAAACTCTCCAGTGCTTTCCTGCACTGATTCTCCGGGTCTCTACAGGGACGATGGAATACCATTGTTTCAAATGATATGATGATGGGGTGGACAGCGCTGTCAGCTGGGTAGTGACTGAAGGCCACAGCTAACCTATTTGCTTTATTTTATTTATAGTTTTTTATTACTGTAATTTAGCACTCATCAGGGAGGAACAGCATCCAGTATTGAGACCAGTCCAGGTCATGCTGGACAGCATTTGTTCCATCAGATACACAGAAGCATCCCAGAACGGATTCCCTGCTCTGCTTCAATAAAAACAAAGCAGTGTGTGTACGTCTGAAGGAAGCTGCATCACGCTGGGCATGAGTCACACATCATTTGCTTTTGAATGGCTTGTTTGGAATATCAAGTTATGCACACTACCATAAAATATTAAAATAAGACTGAGCCTTGAGAATATCCCAAATACAGTCTAAGACTGCAGGGTGTTCAGTTGCACTAACCAGTTAGTCGTCAGTGCTTCCCAGCAGCGTTATGGAAATCATATGGCCTCTGGAGTCTCTAATCCTGGGGTCTGATGCACTTCAATATTACTGTTGACTGACGTCTGTTAGACGCATCTCCAAGCAGAGGGCAGGGATAGCTCAGTAGGTAGTGTTCGTCCCGTGACTCGGGGGTTCGAATCCACTGAGCAAGGTACCGTTCCTACACACTGCTCCCCGTGCGCTGGCTGCCCACTGCTTCACCGAGTGAATGGGTTCAATGCGGAGGACTAATTTCCCTACGGGGAAGAATAAAGTATACATTATTAGAATCTGCAGCAGGTTCATGTCCTGGAGAGGTAGCTGATCACTGGAGTTATAGAAAACGTTAAATAAATCATCTAAACAGTTTAGATGATTTGAAATGAATCTGAGAGTTTCAGAATGGTTTTGGTCCTGGAAGTGTCCGTGTGCCAGTGACGTGGCCCGTGACCTGAAACGAGTTTAACATGAGCAAAATGAAATCAGAATAGAAATGACTGGAAAATGCAAACCAATGTAACGCATTGTTTTCTGAACAGCTGGTTATGGCAGCTAGTGTTAGGCTGGAGACCTTAAAGTGACCCTTTGCCTACATTCTCACATCATATGAGAGTTTAAGTTCAGAGAAGGTTTCACTGACTCTGGCAGAAAAGATGTCCTCCTTCACTGACTCGTGGGCGACCACAAAGAAGTCTGTAAAGAGAAGCAGAAAAAGGTCTTTCGACGAATCCTGTTACGTGGCACCAAAATGAATATTTATCTCCAAATTACTTTGGCTTTCTTCTGTGAACAAACCACCCCGTAGACCAGGGGTCCGTTCTTCGTACCTTGCTTACTACATCCAAGATCAAATCATCGCGCTAACCGTGAGCTCGCTATTCCGGTTCTCCGAACACACCTGTTGTTCACGATTAGTACAGCTGGATGAAGTAATGTGACATCACTGGGTGTCGTAAAAGGGGCTACGCATCGATAGTAGAAACATTGATCGGCAACCCTTTGATTGGTCGGCGAAAATGTCGAAGGAGCGCGCTCGATGTTTTTCGGCAGCAGAGCAAGAACTCTTGATTGAGGGATTTCAGGAGTTTCAGAGTTTAATTAAAACGCAAGGGAACACTGCAAAGGCTGCAAAAGCAAGGAGCGAGGGCTGGCAGGAAGTTGCTGACAAATTAAACTCGTAAGTAATTTAATAATAATAATAATAATAATAATGGATTTGATTTATATAGCGCTTTACAATGCCACTATCCAGTCACTCTCACATTCACACACTGGTGGAGGCAGCTACAGGTGTAGCCACAGCTGCCCTGGGGCAGACTGACAGAAGCCAGGCTGCCATATCGCGCCATCGGCCCCTCTGGCCAACACCAGTAGGTGGTAGGGTAGATTTATTATATTACACTATATTATATTATATTATATTATATTATATTATATTACATTATATCCCCTTTCACATTAGAGCCACAACAGGACCCACTAGAACATGGGAACAAGTAAAAGTGAAATATAAGAATATTCTACAGAATGGTAATATTTATCACTTATATTGCTTTTAGTCTCTTGGAAAGAGACCCTGAAATAATCTGTTTGTTTATAACAGCAACCAAGAAAAGGGCAGAGCACAAAAAGACAGGTGGTGGTCCTGCACCCCCTCGTCAACAAGTTGGTTAAGTAAATAATACCCTCACGGGAAAATCGATATCTCTCAATGAGCACACTGTCGCGCTGAGCTAAAGGATCCTGTCTGTCCCGCAATATACGCTGAATTCTGAGGACTCTCCTTATCAATCTTGCACCATCTGCAATGGGCTGCTCGCGTATACGGACAGGACATGGCTGCGACAGGCTTCCCAAATCCACCTTCGCTTTTATAGCCGTGGTCTCCCATCTTGATTACATGAAGTAATTTACAATTACTACTCTGAAATATGACTTACATCTGTAATAATCACATACATGTAATAGAATGTTAATAGTACATTTCCCTTTTTTAGGAAATGACCTGCATGTATCTGTGTGAAATCAATAAAAGGATCAGGTGCTGCATTATCTTTAGTTACATTGATGTTATTTATTTATGGTGAAACAGTGGTAAAATATCACTGTTGCTTTCGTATACATGAAGCGGACATACCTGCGTGGCCGCGATCTAATCCTGTTTACATAAAGTAAACCTGCTCCCGAGCAGGCTCTGTTGCTATGACAGCAAGTCCCGGATGAGCTTCGGGGAACCGAACGATCCAGGATCACGCAAAATCGTCAACAATCAAATCCAGCTAACTCACTTAGCGAGGTACGAAGAATGGGCCCCTGATGAAGCCGTTCTTCTTGCGGATACTTTGATCCTTCTTTGTTGTCACCCATCGTCACAGACATTTGCCTCTCTGCTGTCTCACCTCAGACACCAACAGTAGCTCGTGGCATATGCCTGCAGACGCAGCGTTCAGGCTCTGCTGTGGGATGTCCTTTAAGTGAAAACCACTTTGTTTTTCCTGCCAAACGACTTTCACGCACATCCTGTGTTTGACACGGGATGATGAACATGTGGTTAATTGGACTGTGGGTTAATGGCTGTTTGTCTACAATCCCATATGATCCAGGTATACACTGTAGGTCCCTTCACCATTACTAAACTGTAATTTAGAGCAGAGCTTGACTAACTCTGTAAGCTAAGCCAGGATGTGGAGCTTCAGTTCACGCAAAAGTGGTCATGATGTTGGAATAGGACATGAGTCAGGTTCAACTGCTTTTTAAAAACGCTATAAATTTGTATTTACAAAGGGGAAAAATCCATGGACACAGCCTGAAAAGGATCGTGCAAACACTAAACATGTTAGTCATTTTAGTGCACAAGTTATGTTCTTCCCCTTTAACACCAATGCAGAGAAAAACCACAGCTGCAAACAATGTCTGATAATACGCAGTGACGCACTCACACTGTTGATACCTGCGGGTTTGCAGATGTGTCAGCAGTACCAGGGATATAACGTCTGTAGATTGTGATCAGATTCTGTATTTAGAGTTATCAAACATCAGATCTTAAACTTGTTGCTAGCACTCTTGGTTAAAAGAAGAAACTACTCCGTTTCTCGCTCTGAGTTCCTGTGTAAACCTCCACCGTTGGCCTTTGTTTCGGTAAAATTGGTCATCTGGTATTTTTGAAATTCTACATAATTAATCTCGTATTCCTATTTTCTATTCAAATTACATTTACTCACATCGATTCACTCAACTGGAGTGAGTGAACATGGTGCTAATTGCTAGCTTGTTATTTTATGACGTAACTACCCATTCAGCTACCGTCGCTAGCACAGGATTGTCCACGTGTCTCATGGAAAGGAAAATAAATATTACGTCAATAAGGCAAAGACTCAAAACCTTTTCAAATTTGATGATTCTTAAAATTAGTACTTCATTGGAAGGAAAAAAAGCAAATTTACTCTTGTGGGGTTTGACAAAGCGCTGGTCATCTGCAATACTGCATCTGTTTTTCATTTCTTTTTATAAATGAGAGAAGCTATATAAACCTATAAATTTAACCAACTATAAGAGAACAGACATCCACCGAATAACTGAAGATAAAAATGTTGTAACACTTTTTTAATGGATCCAGTTTAAAGATGTGTAGCTCTAATGTGCAGCCATTGCATTAGAAATAAGCAGTGGCCCTGAGGGTGCACTCACTAATAAAATTAACTTGAAATGAAATGTTTCTTTTACCCAAGTCAACATATTAACAGTTTTCTGCAGCAGTGTTGCCTTTTACTTGTATAC